TACTTGAAGCAGAAAAAAACTGTTTTGCAATAATGGATTTTTAATCTCGATCTGCAAGGCCCCATTTCTACGCTAGACTGTATGAAAAATGAGAAACGGAATTAAAGAAAATTGATGATGAAACATATTAGGATGGACCATTTACGGCGATTTATCCGAAGAATGAATTAGAAAAAATTGACATAAAATTGAAGAATCCGGAATTAAGAAAAACACCTTAAGATTGTCAGTGTTTTTAAGTGAAACTTTAGAAAATCGAGCGTTTAGAAGAACTTTGCTAAAACTGGAAAATTCCGAAATTTTCAAAATCAAGCGAAATAGGATCATCAACATTTTTCCAGCAACCGAACCGAGTTACTGCGCCGGTGCGTTGCGTTGGCGCACCAAACCTTTTGCGCAGCATTGCGCCAACTCCTAAAAAATTCACTGAGTTACCCAGGCCTATTTCCCACCGCCTCTGAAGACGAAAGCAACTCGTGCTTCCGAAACATCGTAAAGCAAACGCATTTTGGCAAAAGCGCGACTACACCTAAGCCTGAAGACCATTTTCAACGAGACTTGGAATGTATTTACATTAATTTTATGAGTAGAAAAAAATGTGAAACTTACCAAAATGTAATGGTGGCACCAACGACGTGATCGTCATTGAGTGAGGAGGAGGCGATTGATTCGGTCAGCCACGTAAAGTGTGCGGTAGGCGGAGAAGTATAGAAAAAAAATAAACAAACGGTGCATATAGAAAACGGCAGCAATTTCAGACGAATATGGTTTATAAAACAACATAAAACAAAAAAACTAATGTTAAATTCCAATCGGAAACGGTTGGTAGAAGGTATTGAGGCGGATTTTGCCAATAACAATGTTTTTTAATATAAAACCTCCTTTTCAATTTATCCACATCAGCGCAATTTAGTCAAAGTTTATCCAATTAAAACACAAAAACTCGGCAAATTAATGCAAAAATTCTGCCACCGCGAAATCAAATATTTCGTGTAGAGCTTTTGAAAAATTATTATTAACTGAATGCCTCAGATTTTCATCGCTTTCGATGTCCGGGGCACGTCCATACTTTAGATGGCACTCAAACGAGTTTTTTAATTGAATTTTTTCCTATATTGAATATGCAAAGTTTTCTCTACCTTGTACCAGTGTTTATTCGATTTTCACTGAAAAAATAAAAACCACAACTAAATTAATAAAAGTTTCGAAAAAATCAGCCCAAATAAAATCGATTTTTAAGCAGACAACAATAAAACACTTTAGCGATATGCGTCTGCAATTATCAAAACATAAACACACACATGTTAACTCAAAAGCAATTAATTAATTAATTAAAATAATCTCGGATGAAATTGATTAATGACTGGCTCTTACAGGGAGTAAAAGTAATGCCCAATACATAAACGGTTAACAAAGAGGCTCCACAGAATATTAACGAGTAAAAAATAATAATTAATAATCTGTGGAAATGCTACGGCGGATTAAATGCAACATGCGGTATACTACAGTCTAATATAAGGACAAACCAAACTACGATGGAATGGTGGAAAATTTTGAATCGCAGAAAAAGATGGCTCGAAAGAAGACAAAATGCTTTTGGATGCGGTTTTCTTTAAAAAATTTCGATTTCCCGACAACAATTTGTTAATCGCGAAGCGGCGTTGATTGATCCGTTTATTCAGCCAACACTACCAGTCATTGCTGTATTGATTGATTTTATTTATATTAATTAGAGAAAAACCCCTTTATTTAGGGCAGATTTTGAAAGTTTCAAATTCATTTACAGCAAAAAATTGAAAACTTTGCAAACTTGAAAAAATGTGCCATTTTGACGGTGCAAATGCGCCTACCTTACCGCATTAAAATCCATGTTTAAATAGCCGAAAAAATTGAGGTTTATGTTTTATTTTTCAAATTAAAATGCAATGCCGGTAGTGCTGAGCGACACAACGAAAAAGCTGAGAACAAAAGTAGTAAAAAACCAAATCAAAAAACGAGAGCGTGGCTGCTCAAACGGCTGCGCGAAAAAAATGATCATCGAAATGCAGTGTTATCGAAACTTACCAGGTTTTTTAATAACTATTTTAGCCTGTTTCGCTGTTCGGGTATTGCGATCCAAGTCGAATATAGACGAAAAAATAGTGAAAAATAGAAGTGTCAGAATAGGGGAAAATATAAAGCAAAATACGGGGGTGCGGTCATTGGTGTGAGTGGCAATTCAGTCCCGAAGCTGAGACTCAATATTGTTGATCGATTGAACATTATTATCTGACTCGAATCTACTCTTACTTCTTCTATTTGGTTCTGTCACTTATATCCCCGAAGTTTTCCCTGTTTTATTTAGTTTTCCCTCTCAGTTTAGTTTGTTCGCCTTCAGCTTCCGGACTTTGTTGCATAATGAACTTATTAAAGAGTGAATTTCAAGTGCCGTTGAGATTATGCGGTGCTGTTATAACAAAAATGTAGAGTTAGAGAGAAATACAAGATGCTACTTGGTGGAGTCGAACAAACAACATATAAATAATGGATAAGGGACAAATCGGGGGCAAAAAACAACCGAAAATCCGATCGGGAACCTGCCCTAAATTGTTCAGTGCTAGGATGAAGTCGGCTAAACAAATGGCAAAATCCCAAACAAACCACAACAGTAAAAAGTAAAATAAACGAACTCAAGTGCGTAAAATTGGAAATTTTGAGAAAGCTTTTCCATGTGGGCCTCCAGAGAAAATGACATGAAAAATGGCATAAAGTCGCGACGTTTCAACAGTGCGATGTATAACGAAAAACTCTAACAAAAAACAACTTTTTGAAGCGTCGGCCATCTCGATCCAGCTCGCAAATGCTCAAAAGTAGGCGCAATAAAAATGTGAATTTGCATCGACAAAACTTGACTTTGTTTGTAAAAAAAAAACCGCAATTTTTGAGCATTTTCTATCGACTGAAACGTGTGCTCACCGCCAACGCTTCTCAAATAACAAATTACAAATAGATCATAAGGAACTATACAGGCATTCTAATCTACGGTAGTCAAAAAGCGGCGCAAAAAACAGTGACGGAACGAGGCAATTTTTCTAAAGGGTCTTATTTGCAATTGTTCGCGGTTTATGAACAACCCAGTTGCGCCACTGCCGATGTGATTTTTGACGTGGGGAGTAAAAAGGGAATCTGATCCTTACCATCTATATTAGTTCCAAGTAGCATTGAGGAAAATAATAAAGAAAAACATTTCTCTGATCAATTGTTTTCAAATGACGGAAAAATAAGCGTGAGCTGTTCAGACAACTAGAACATGTTCTAGTGAGGAATGTTAATGATGATTTGTGTGTGTTGAACATCGGAGGGCACATTTTAACCAGGTGCCGTTGATGTGATTGGGTAGGTACGTGTTTAGGGGTTTTATATAACAGTAGATGCCCTTTTCCGAATAAACATTTTATTCAAAAAAGGGCGCATGGTTGAAATATTGGACAAAAGCTGAGTCAAAACTGAACGCTCCAAAACGAGCCAATCACTTCACTTTTGCCGCATTTCGATACACGTTGAGGTAGTTGCTGATGGGACTTTCTATGCTGTATTATATTCAGTTTTTATGCATTTTATTGTCATGGCTGTCTTGCATGGAACCAGCGGAATTTGCCCCCATCATGTGAAATTGCAGCTAAAGTATCAAGACTAAAGAATCAATTTATTGGCTCCGAATGGACAAAGTTTAACGCTTTCTGCCGCTAATAGCAGGTTGTTTTCACATTTTGACGCTCCCCTCATAACTCACATTTGCCCCAGAATGGATGAAAACGATTCGCAAGAAAATGTATTAAACTCGCGTTCCAGACTGAGAAAATAGTTATAAAAAACTCGGGTTTTTGGACGGCAAACCCCACTAGTTCCCACACAATGACAATATCCGTGTATCAAATAAACTATGCATCTGCCCTTATGTTCATTTGCCAACACAAACTGTACAATCGATCATGATTTGTTATTAACTGAGCAAAATAGTGACAATAAAAGCAGCGTTTGAATGACACCAAACAGCCTTGAGCTTGTTATCAAACATCGATATTATATTACACGTGAGTAATGCTTTTGGCAAGTTGTGGAGGAAAACATCCTCAAAACTCGGTTAAGTTCTAAGTGAGCAACTGAAACGGCCCCGATGAATGCGCGCCTGTTAGTTTTGGAAAAACTCACCAAAAGATCTCGTTAATGTAATATAAATCTGGGGAACTTACGTTCTTTTAGAGCTGAAATAAACAGGTTCGGTTATTTTAAATCGGGAAAACTACTCAAGGGTGGCTTGCAACTACCTCATTAGGGGCTCAGATGATTGCGAGGCTGCTGCTGCAAAATGGGCAAAAAAGTTTCATATTCTTCAGTTGAGGCAGGCCAGCCACGACAATCATCCAAGCTTCCACGAAAGATTATTCCAAAGAGTAGGGATCAAAGTTGATGGATGCCCAGTAAAACCACTTCTTGAATCAACTCAGTATATACAGGGGCGCATCCAGCTTTAAAGTCGGGGGGG